ACCAGTCTCATTCCCCAGCGAGGCAGGTCAGGGTCAGAATAGAATGGTTTACTCACTAACAGGAGGAAGAAAAAAAAAAAGTGCTTCTTTTCAGTCATGTTTTGACCATCTTGTCATATTTCTCAAGAAAATTGTTCTATTTTAAGTCTTACTAGTGAGGTGGGATAATTGGTAAGTTTTTTATGGCATGAGAGTATTTTTGTGATGCAAATCAAGAGGTTGAATAGTTGAAAGTTAACACTGCAAGATACAGCTGAATGCCAGCTGAAGAATTACTTCATTACCTCAGGAAGCTTCACTTACTGAGCCTCAAATCACCAGCTCAGTCTGAAACACAGATCTGCCCCTTCAGACCAATCCCCAGCACACTGCTTCGAATGTGGAAATTCCCAGTGATTCAGTCCCTGAGGACAAATACGTGCTCGGAAGCTGAAAAATACCACCGTGACTCCCAGAGGAGCGAGCTGCACACACGAAATAAACCTTCCGAGAAGTTTATTCCAGCAAGGCTAAAAGGCAAGGTAAAGTTCCTGGAAACTCTGTACTACCCAGGGACAGATCCTCAGCTCTGAGTCTCCAAACACTTTGAAATCTGCAAGTGGAAAAAGCCTGTCAGCAATAACAGAAAGGAGTCGGTAATCTCTGGTTAAGTGTTTTGGCACTTGGCTGCCTTTAGCAGGCAGGAATCAGACCAAGACGCAGATCTATAAACTGAAGCCAACTAGAACCAAGCATAGTTTTTACATCTATAACACTGGTCCTGTTATTTTGAACCAAACCACGGCAGACTGTTTGAACAGCATCTTCCAAACCCAATTCAAAGACAGAACTTGAGCCACTAGCATCCCTTCAACAGCCTTCCTCCTTTCCTGTGGACGTCACTGCATGCAAGTGGCCTGCACAGACAGTCTTAATTAACAAGAAAAGGCTTTGGCTTCAAAGTATTTCAGTTCCAAAGCAAGGACTATTTTGTGAAACACAGTATTACTTAATTGGTGCTAAGCAATAGGAAACAAAGCCGCTACCTACTCAGCTTCTCAGACTCACTGCCACAGATCTGATTCCTGAAAGAGCACAAGAGAGCAAGCAAAAATACATTTCAGATTACATTAACTTCAAAACCAACCACGGAGCAGAGAATAGCTGCACTAACAGCAAGGCTCTAAATAAATGTATATGCCTATGTTTCCCTCTGAACAGCACGCTCAAACATTCATTGGGCTTGAGGGCACTAAGCTGAAAACAGAACAAACCCTCCCCACCCCAAGTGAAGCACTGAGCACATTTGTACAGCTCAGAGCTTGGCCCTCAGCAGAGACAGCTATCAAGGTGCAAGCTCCACAGCACCTGACAGGAAATCTATCTCAAAGGCTGCACGCAGCTCACTGCGGGCAGAAAACCATTGAGGATGTTGATTTGTTTTGCCTTGAGGAAAGCAAAAAAATATCAAGTAAAAAGCATCCAGGGAAAAATTTAGAAACCTCTGGAAAAATAAGCACATTAAGGGCAGATTTTCTGAAAGACACATGTAGTTCTACTCATGCTCTTCAAGCATATTATTACCACTCAAAAAAGACATAAAATCTCATCTTTGTGAGAGCAAGTCTCCTTCTTGTCTCTCCCACTCTTCCCAGAGCATCTCATGAAGGGTATATTTTGATCTGAGGCCTGAAGGCAAAAAGTAACATATCTTTTCTCACTGGACACGCTAGAGCTCATCTAGGAAAGCGACAAACTCTGCCCCACGGCTACAGAAGCTGCATCACGCACAGAGCAGTGAAGCACCAGGCAGGCTGAGGCTGGAGAAAAGCCCAGCCTTTCCCCTGCTCCGAGATACAGGAAGAGAAGGGCTCGGGAGTGCAATAAAGCAGGTTCCACAACAGGGGAGGAGCTGGCTGCTCACCGCCGCAAGCCGCCCCCCGAAGCCCGCCCCTCGCCCCTCCATGGCTGGGGCAAGACACGGGGGGGCTTCGCGGGCGTAAGCATCTGTCCCCGGCGGCAGAGCGCTGCCGCGCTCCCCACACCGCCCTCACCCGCAAGGCCTCGACAGCGCCTCGGTGCCGAACGGCCCGCCCGGGGCTGTAAGGAGGCAGCGGGAGGGACACACCGCCGCCTCCTCCTGCTCACCTCCCCCGCCGCTGGGATTTACCTGGCCGGGGAGCCTTGCGCTGCCCGGACCTGCCCCCAACCAGCACCGCACTTCCCGCCGCTGCCGGCGATAAGGGCGAAGGGCTGCTGAGCGGAGCCCTCGCCCCTCAGCCTTCAGCTGCCCCGGCAGCAGCCGCTACACCGCTCCAGCTCCCTCAGCGCCTGGCGCTGGAGGCCGCCATCTTAGCTCCGGCACCGAGACCGCCCTCCCCACGCAGCCGCCGTCGGGCCCGGCACCGTCACGAGATGCGGTCAGCTGACACGCTCGTTCACGCGACCCCAGCCACCGCGCCCTCCTTACCCCGCCCTGCCGGGAGCCGGAGCGCTGCCGCCGGGCGCATGCGCAGAGCCGCCGGCGGGCGGTGGGGACGTCGCGGGCTCGGCGCCTCAGGCGTGAGGTGAGGTGAGTGGTTGTGTAATTGCCGAAGTAGCATCTTATGGCGCGTTAAATGTGGCTGAACCCTGGTTTGTGCGGTTGTGTGGCCACCAGAAGAAGTTCCTACGGGACCATTAAACTCTCCGTCAGCTTCCCTCATTCTGTACTGGACATAAGACTTGCCAAAGACGGTGTAAACTACAGCAGCATTGTAACAGCTTGACACGCTTGCCTTAAAATGCCTAAAGATGTAAGTGTTTTGGAACATGACTCATTAGAACATATGAGCTTACCATGCCTTTACTTTAAAATAGTGTTCTTACAGTTTGCCAATCATGGAAACAACCGGGTTGGAAAAGAGCTTCAAACTCACCCAGTCCAACCATTCCCAGCGCTGCCAAGGCCACCACTAACCCATGGCACTGAGGGCCTCGCCTACACCATGTGTGAACACTTGCAGGGACGGTGACTGCAGCCCTGCCCTGGGCCGCCTGGTCCAATGCCTGAGCACCCTCTGGGGAAGGAATTGTTCCTCAGCTCCATCTAAACCTGCCCTGGTGCAGCTTGAGGCCGTTTCCTCTTGTCCTGTCCCTTGTTCCTTGGGAGCAGAGACCGACCCCACCTCACTACAACCTCCTGTCAGGCAGTTGTAGGGAGCGATCAGGTCCCCCTTGAGCCTTCTATTCTCCACACTGAACCCCCCAGGTCCCTCAGCCAAGAAAGAATTGAGGAATAAATAGAACTATTTGTATTTTAAGAGAAAAAAAAAATAATTAAAATCACAGGCAGTATATTGCTAATTTTCAATTATTAATTATTTATTAATTTTATTGTAATATATTTTATGTAAAATATTCAAATCCCAGTTAGTCCTTCTTCTGATAACTCTGGTCCTCTGAGTCCAAAATAGCGGTAATGGGAAAATTACATTACATTGAGGAAGATGATTAATTACTTTTTGGGCACAGAGCCTTGAGGGTGAAAAAGTTGTATTGACATACTAGGAACTGCAGAAATGTAATTTCAGATGGAAGTGATATGATTCAGGAAATTTTCTTTGCATGGAAGAGGTTTTGGAGGGGCTTGGAGGGATTTTTTTCTGTTCTCCTTGGTTAGTTGGCTTTGAGGGTTATTTTGTTCTGGGGGTTATGTGCTGGGTTTAGTGCTTTTGTGTTGTTAGCATAGGGTAGGTAAAACAGCAAGCAAAGCAATAGCTTGTTGGATGTTTATTACTTGAGGCCAAAGAATGACATTTCCATAATGAAATTGGTATAACAGACTAGTAGTCAATATTTTCATAGCCAAATTTCAATCTGACAACATAGATTATGTTTCAGCATATTTCTTCAGCTCAAAATAGTATTTCAACAATGAGCTATGTGTTTACTGTCTATTTTCCTTTAGACGCTATCTCTATTTTTGGACATGCTTTTGGGTGAGTAGTGAAGTTGCCTTTGGTTATAATGCAGTAGGATGGTAAAAGGAAAAGAGGATACAGATTAAGAGTGAGAAGATCCAAAAGAAAATGGAATAATAACTTTGAAATTATTCAGAAAGCAAGCAAGCAGGAAAGGTGTGTTTAGCAGTTGAGACAGGAAGTTATGGAAATGATATTGTACAACATGGGAACATATCTTCCAGAAATTGAAGTAGATCAGGGTTTCATAACCGTTTAATTGTAAAGCGTGTGTGAAATGATAATTGTGTGTAGACAACAGCATTCTAGGTTTCTTGGTCATTGTTTCATGTGAGCTGCTACTACTGGATGTTTCTTCATTTTCTGTTTACCTAAAGATTTGTGGAAAGCCTGGAATACAAAAATTGTGGGCCTTAACACCATCTTCCAATTTTAAAGCTTACAGTTTTATTTTAAAAAGCCATAAAAAAAATAAGAAAGAATAAAATTCTAACTCCATTAATGTCAATGGCAGTTTTATTGTTGGCTGTGACACAGGTGGTGTTTCACCCTTACATTTCGCAGTCACTTAGAGAGTAAGCAGCCGTTTACATCCATTGTCATTATTAAAATAAGAATAATAAAGCATAGCTTTGATGCGTTCCTGAAAGATAGAATGTTAGGTTGCTGCAATCCCCTTTGGAGAAGCAAACTCACCTTCATTACTTCTGGATCTTTCATCTGAAGAACATCAACCTGACCTTGTCAGCTTAAATACTGTCATTTGCATACAAGGTCAGCCCACCTCCAATCTAGAGAGCAAGGTTTCTCCTTACCATCCAATTTCTGAACAGCAGAAGGAATACAGAGTTCCAGTCCACTACTGAATAATTAACAATGCACTGGCTATTTCTGTGATCAGCACCTAATCTGAAAGACTGTGGTTAAGGATTCATGAATTCTTCAAGCACAGTACAGGTACAGTGGAGAGCCAGTGCTAGGATTCTCTGCAGCAACAGTAACTATGATGATTGTAAAAACCAACCTATAATAGCAGAGCTCCTGTTGTGTTTCAAACAGATGTGTTGTGGTTTATAGCAAAACCAAAGAACAAGTTTCTACCCAGCCTGCCTGCAGTGAGCAAAGGACAAGACAGCCCCCTTTTCCAGTACTGATTTTGATGGGGCAGAATTTTGTGACAGCTTTCTAGAGAAAGGTGATGTTCTTCCATCCTTCCTTGTCTTACCAGAAAATAAGTTCCTAGTAGAATTGGGAATAGTTACTTCATCTTCTTACTTACAGCATATTTACAGTGTAGGAGGTTGAAGAATGATCCGCTTTGAGGCCAGCTACTGTTTTTCTGCCATAAAGTAATGGGGATCTAAAGATTGTATCTAAGTGGTTCACCACAGCTTAGTGTAAATTAAAGATAATGAAGAGAGAATATGCTTAATAATTGTATTTTTAGGTTGCCAGATAACCTTAACAGTAATACTTTGATACCTATTTATAGGACTTGACTGATAGAGGATCACAGAAGCATTTGCAAAGGGATAGGAAGGGGGGGTGTAAGTGTACAAATCCCACCTGAAGCCAATGCAGTAAGATGCCTTTGAAAACCTCTCTCCTGAATCTCAACACTGTTACTCCTAATCTGTTGCAGATGCCAAAATAACAGGTTACACAGACACTCTTCTGGAAATCAGACCCACGTTACTGGATCAGTCTTTGTTCTACTCTTTGTTATCCCAAAGGTGCATTAAGACTATGCTGACATTTGCCAGGAGTTCAAAGCTCACATCAAATTTTTATGTATCTTGACATATGTTGTCTAGAAATAGACACAGATAATACTGATAAGTTAGCTTCTCTGTCAGCTTCATTCAGAGATAACTTCTGGATACTCCCTGTTAATGATTCTTTATTTCCTGATACACCCATTAAATGATAAGTTGTTTGTTACCTCGGGTATTAGGTTGGTAATTATGGCAGCCTATACTAATGAACTTCATGATACTCTTACTGAATTTTGTTGAATTATTAAGAAGGAGCATCGGCAATACAGTGATTCATGCTAACTTTATTCATATTCCTACCATTTATTTTGTCTACAATAAGCCCTGTGGATAACCCTTTCATTCTGGCATCAACATATATGCAGTAAATACTGCCATCCTAACTTTTCATCTCTTTATCCACCTAGAGCCCTGGTCTTTTTGTTTTGTCTTTTGAAGATAATCTACCCATTCTTTTGAACTCTTTTACCTTCCAGTAGATTTCAACATTACTTGCAATCCAGTCTTAGTAGTTTATGTGGGTACATCTGGAATAAGAACAGTGATTGTAATAGATTTACTTAATATCTTAGTTGTAATTCTTAGTACAATGAGTCTTTACTTGGATCATAATAGCAATGGACAATGATGTGACAATTATTAACAGATTTCTGTTGTTTGAAAATGTGTGGTTGTATTTTTCCAAAGGAAAATGAAAAGGAGAAACATACTGTTTATTGCCTATAAAACTAGCAACCATTATAAAGTCTGTAACCCCCTTCTCTTTTGACTTCATTTAACCAGGTTGTGTATATCTGAAAAACTCCATTCACACATGCTCAGTGGAAACCTTGATAAAATATGACAACGAAAACTTCCACATACGTAGCTTCATCTTGGTATTGCAAGCCTGCTTAAGGTAAGTTGCTTTTTGAAATGTCTGGCTCTTGGGGACCATTTTGTGATTGAGAGTACTGAAGATATGCCAGTCTTTTTGTCTTCCTGCTGTTGATACACAGCCCCTGCAGTGAAATGGCCAAAAACACTGAAGAAGGAGCAGACTGTAAGAAAGACAGGAGGCCTAAGGAGAGAAGAAATTGGAGTGTAGGAAAGGAAGGCTGGAACTGGGGAGCAGGTGCTAGGTGAGGCCAATGTGATATGATTGGGTTTTGCATATAGGAATCATAGAATTGATAAAGACCTTGGAACAGCTGAGAGGGGAGACGGAGTGTGACCTTCAGCTTCAACAGAGACGTGAGAGCTAGGCAGTTCGGAAGAGCTGTGAGGCTGCAACTTTGGAAAACTTGAAAAAAGTAATAGACTATGAAGAGATGAAGCACTGATGTAGGAGTTTTCCTCAGGAAGACAGGTACAGGCAACTCAGAGAAGAGGGAAAGTAAAAGAAGAGTAAGAAGGGAGGCACCTAGATCTGGCATAGGGAGACACTGCAAATGGTATAGGTAGCTGAGAAGCAAGACTGAGAATAGCTAGGGACTGAGCTGAAGAATTCTGTGAGAAGAAGGAGCTGAGCCAACAAAAGATTGCAGGAAGAGTCAAATTTAGAAGTGAGGAGAGGGAGAAAGGGCTTAGCAGAGCAATAGGCTGAAAAAGACACGGCAAAAGAAGCAGTACCCACAATGGTTTCTCCAGGATGACTCCAGCTGAGAAACCCAATGCCCAAATGTATGTAGCATCCTCTCTATGGATGTCAGCTTAATTCTCCTGCTAGTTCTCTTGTCAGAGAGCTGTGGTACAGATCTGGATGTGGTATATGATATAATCCCACATCATAATTATGTGGATGTTTGAATTAAACCCAGAGAATTAGACATCCACACATATAAGCAGCTATGCAATACTGACATGATAAACCTAAAAGACTTTGAAAGTTTAAAAATTCCAGAAGATGAGGACTGCGTTTTCAGATAGTTGCATGCTTATGTACCATTTTTTTCCTATGGGAATTTTGCCTTACTCACTCCACAAGATGAAAGGACTTATTGAATCAACATGTATGCAATGCTGTGTTCTACCCACAGTTGCTCAGTTTGCTGCCCCCAGATTTATGTAGCTATATGAACTCTATTATTCAAGCTCCAGATATATTAATTTCCATATTAACATTGCTGTGCCATTCTTTAGTACACTCTCTGAGGGCTCCAAAACATGAATTAACTTATTTTTGCAACATCCATCTGCTTTTAATAATTGACTGGTTGAAAGTAAATTGATGTGTTTTTTTCATATATATTCTTGTGTGTAATTTCCAAATATCCTAGCACAGGCTTTAAATATCATGTGTCTCTTAATGAAAATGGACTCCTGTAAAAAAGCAAAATTGCTGTTTGATTCTTTCCCTGTCTCTTTTTATGGACAGTAGAACCAAAACAGATGATAGTGTACACTGATTGATGATTCTGTGATTACAGGCTTATTCAGTGTATCAGTCTATGTGACCCCATGTCATATCTTTTTTTCATGCCTTACCTAGAATCATAGAATGAACAAGGTTGGAAAAGACCTTCAAGAACTTCAAGTCCAACCGTTCCCCAGCACTGCCAAGGCCACCACTAACCCATGGCACTGAGGGCCTCGCCTACACCATGTGTGAACACTTGCAGGGACGGTGACTGCAGCCCTGCCCTGGGCAGCCTGTTCCAATGCCTGAGCACCCTCTGGGGAAGGAATTGTTCCTCAGCTCCATCTAAACCTGCCCTGGTGCAGCTTGAGGCCGTTTCCTCTTGTCCTGTCCCTTGTTCCTTGGGAGCAGAGACCGACCCCACCTCACTACAACCTCCTGTCAGGCAGTTGTAGGGAGCGATCAGGTCCCCCTTGAGCCTTCTCTTCTCCACACTGAACCCCCCAGGTCCCTCAGCCGTTCCCCATCACACTTGTGCTCCAGGCCCTGCACCAGCTCCATTGCTCTTCTCTGCCCCCCCCCAGCACCTCAATGTCTTTCTTGCAGTGAGGGGCCCAGAACTGAACACAGGTTTTGAGGTGCAGCCTCACCAGTGCCCAGCACAGAGGAACAATCCCTGCCCTGGTCCTGCTGCCGCACTGGTGCTGATCCAGGCCAGGAAGCTGGTGACTTCTTGTCTTCTGGGCACCAGCTGCTCATGTTCAGCTCTGTCAGTCAGAACCCCCAGGTCCGTTTCATGAAATTCAACTCTTAAGACTTTGAATTGTAAATTTATTTGTTAAAGGTTGCTTCCTGTGGAAAGGGCTGAGTTAAATTTCAGTACTAGCTCAGGAACAGGGATGCTGCTGATTTGAGAAACTGAAGGTTGACAGAATGGCCAAGATTTATGTTCAGCAATTAAGGTAACAAAAAAACCCAGCCCTGCTTCCCAGAAAGTGCCTTTGGACACTGTTCAGAGGTTTTCAGGAGCTGCGTGAATTAGTGGGACAGTGGGAAAAGTCAGTCAGAGGGACTTTTTGGTAGAGCTACTCGGGGAATCACAGTGAGGTTCCTTGAACATATCTGTAGCTGCGGTGCCTCCCGGGTATCTAAACTTGGTCATCCAAACCAAGAGGACCCTCCAAACCCAAGCACCAGGTTTTCTGCTTATCCACTGCAGTTTCTGTCAGTGAGACTTGTGAGGGAGTCATTTGTAGGTGCTTGATTTCCCACTTCAGCTTTAGAGCATAAAGTATGTACTAATCCTCTGATGAATGTCTGAAGCTCACTGTGCAACACCAGTGATCACTAGTGCTGGTCTGAACAAGGGTGGAGAATATCACCAGGCAACATGCCCTCTCCTCGGAAGATGGGCACAGGTGATGTGCTTATGAAGCTCATGTTATGGTGGGCTGTTTACAGCAATAATTGGCTTGCATCCATGTTAACAACAGGAGAGTGTAGCATTACGCTGCAGTAACGCTGAACTCCTGCTTTGCAAACCGCAGGCATGGAGAAGCTAATGGTTTGTTTTTCCCCTGTTACTGAATGACACCTTCACTCTAAGAATGCCAGACACAGTGAGTCACGAAAAGAGCATCAGTCAGCAGAATTTTCAGGCTCTTTCCCTTTTTCTGTAATAAGCAGAAGCAGGACTTTGGAAATTTCAGTTTTCTTTTGGGTTGGTAGATATTTTTTCTTAGGTCTTTACAGTTTCACCTTCGTTTTCCTCATGCTGTTGCTGGTTTCGTTTCTCTCATTATGACTGAATTGTTAATTCCTTACCAGTTTCTTGGTACTTCAGAGGTACCACCATTTCAGTTTTCAGAAGTGTTGCTTCTGACAACCAGAGGGTATTTCACCTTTAGTATCCTTAAAATGGTCTGTAAGCAGGTCACTGGTTGAAATGAATGGAAACAGAAGTCTATGAGTCTGAGAAAGCACAAGAAGCCAGGCAGAAGTGCACTCAGCAAGTTAACACCCGTTCTAGCATCCATTTCAGGCAGTATATTATCCACATTCTCTTCCCACTTCTTTTGCTTTGCTTTGACACAGATCGTGACCAGTGAATGGTATATAAGGCATATGCTGTTGTCTTTAAGCAGAAGCATATGGATACTTATGTAATCTTATTTAGTGCTAGTTTGTAATGATACTATTAATGCTTTAGGTTTTGGCCAAATTTCCCTAAACTTCTGCTGTCCCATTTTTAGTGTGTGACAGAGAGGCATGTATGAAAAGAAACTTGACTATATCCCCATTTACATCTCTATTTCTGGAAAATACTGAATTATTATTGCATTATAGCAATAAAGCAGGTTTGGACTATAGGAATTAGTTAGTTATTTTATGAATGACTCAACAGTGAACTGAAATTAGCTAGGACATTTGGTTAGTTTGCCAGCAGTGCTATCCACTTGAGAGAAGGGTAGTCTAAGGTGTTTAGAAATGGTTGAACCCCAGTTGAGGTGATGTTATAGCGGCC